CTGTGTTCGCGTTCGCATAGAGTAAAGTCCAATCCCTAGTTTTCCCCTCCTAACATTATGCGCTCGCGAAGGACAGATCGCGTTCGCGGAGGGTAGACCCCCCACTACTCCGTGTTGGTGACCAACTCCTCGCGTTCGTGGAGAATAAATTCCTCCCCCAGCCCAGCTCCCCTGCACGATCGCGAAAGATACTTCGATCGCGGGAGAGACTTCACGATCGTGAAGCACAAAGTCTCAGGCATCAGATAATAGCAAAACCAACATTCTTCTAAGTTCAAAAATCACCCTGTAGCCTATCCGAAACTCACCCGAGCCCCTCGGGCTCCAAGCGAAACATGCACATAAGTTTAATAACATCATACAAACTCGCTCGCGCGATCAAAACACCAAAATAACACCTAGAACTATGAATCGGACACCAAAGGAATGAAATTTTAAAAAACTTAAGAACTTTCAATTTTTCAACCTCACGTCAAATCAACTGCGTTTTGCACCAAGTTTTGCAGACAATTCATAAATACTGAAATGAACCTATACCAAGTTCCGAAACCGAAATTCGAACCAGGTAGCAATGAATTCAACTCACGGTCAAACTTAATAATTCTTTAAACCTTTAGACTCTAGTTTTCAAAAAATTACGCTAAATCAAGCTAGGGACTTCCGAATTCGATTCCGGCCTACGCCCAAGTACTAAATTACGATACAGACCCACTGGGACCGTCAAAATACTGATTCGGGTCCGTTACACAAAACGCTTAATGTGGTCAACTCAAATGAGTTTTAAGGCGATTTCACATCTCATCAATTTTTCTCATAAAACTTTTGGAAAAAGACAGGGACACCGCAAGAAAATTGAGGAAGGCTAAATGAAGCTATCCGAGGTCTCGGAACATAGAAATGAAGGGTAAAACTATAAATGACCTATGGGTCATCACACATGCATATGTTGTGCATTATATGAATTTCACATTCTAAATTTCACTTTAACAAAATCCAAATTACCTACTTGTAACTTCTATGGTTTATTATGAAGTCATGTTTTTAGATGGAAAACTCATGAAAATTTATTGTTAAACGTATACTCTATTTGTTAAAATAAGGTGTGATCATGATGTGACGGAACCAGTGTTTTACATGGCATAACATGTGTTCATGATTCGTATACAGTTTTTTTTTTTTTTTTT